GTTCACTCCGTATGATCTAGCGATTCAATTCCCGTTTCGATCCATCTTCATTTTGAACAACATAAAATGGCCTATGGCGCGAAGCTTCGTGACCGTGTCGTAAATGCTTTGTGGCCATGCTTCCCTGGGTGACGTGACTTTATCGAATGAAAATATTTTTAGCGAATGAAAATATTTTTAGCGAATCAAAATAAATTTTTATCGAATGCTGCTACACATTTTCTCGTAAATTGCTTACAAGAATTTGGTATTATATCGAGAGGACAACTTCTACATGATAAATTTCAGAATTCTCATTACATGTTTGCCGCATAATGTATGGATATTATAGGAAGAAGTTACATGTTAATCACTTCTGGAAGTTAAGGGGTTAATCGCTCAAGAGGTGGGAGGATTTTTGGGGGATCGTATGGTTTTCAAGAAGGACGGGTGAGGGATTAGTGGTCGCCAACAGAGTGTAAGGGCGGGGGGGGCTATAGAAAATTGACTGTCAATTAACTGCCAATAGAGGGGGGTGGGGGAAAATCATAAGAATATTGCAGAGCCTTAGAGCGATAGATAATGACCTGTCCCCAATGTACAAACACTCCGTCGGATAGTCGGGTAGATCACGATCGTCGAGAGTTCGTCGCAATCATGCGGACTTCGGAGATTATCGCTAATGTTCGCTCGGGAGTTGTTAGAGGCCATTGAGGTAATGTTTGAATAGCCTTGTCTCCTTTGCGCCCGTTTTCTATCCCCCCCCCCCCCGGAAGAGAATTCTCTAATGCTTTTAGACGACTTAGACAATCCGGTCAATCACATGGAATTCAGAGCATGCACCCGGAGCTCGCTGTGAGTGTCAAGGTTGCAAAAGAGGTTTGATTGTGCCACTATTGACATTGGCTGAGGCCACGTTGGGAAATTGAAGTAGAGGTATGCGCTTGGTTTTCGAAAGGGATAAGCGCCCCATCCTGCCTCCTGCCCCATACTTCGCAAACTCTCCACTTCCTCTATGGGATAAACGTGTCTTGCCCTTTCGTTCATGTCATTCCACCCTCTGCGTTCAGTACGTGTTCCATTATTTCAATCACGAATTAGTAGTAAAGTGATCATAGCGACCGCTGGTTCACCCAATCTCTCTTTTAGAATTATTAAGTGTACAAAGCATAGAAAGAGGTTTGATTGTGCCACTATTGACATTGACTGAGGCCACTTGTACAGTTTGATTAGTTTGTAAAATTTTCTTATTTCAACCGCGCCTCCTGAAGAGAAAAGGGTAAGTTTGTTTTGAACGCGCCTAGCGCGCGGTGAAATGGGGAGCGCTCGCAAGAATTCTGGGTACATTGGAGGTCTTTTGTAAGAATCTGTAATGGAATGATTACAATTACAAACCGTGGACCTGGAGAATTCAGTACTGTTCTGGAAGAAAAAATGTCCACCTAATAATAAGAAAGTACAAAAGAAAATCCTTTTCAGCAGATAAAGTAATATCGATCAAAGCGACGGAGGATTGCGCTCTCCGACGGATTGTTAGAGATAGGGTCAACATGGAATAGTTAATTAACTGCCATGTTACAATACTTAAAGACTTCCTGATTTATTTCTGTGGTGCCTTAATGTAGAGCAGAAACTCTTTGTATGGAAATGGAAAGAATACTGAACATCCGCAGACCGCCAGAACAGAGTCAAAGTGGACTATCGAGGGCTTCGAAAATATTTTTCGGCTGTGACATTTTCCAAGGTAAAGTTTCTATTTCACAATCTGACGTTCGATTGAGTTGATGTGTAATATTTTTAGCTCACACAGATGGTTGGAGATCAAAACATCCTCAAGATCCGTGTATAAAGTTTTTATGTTTTTATATCTCGGATCTTACAGATGTCTGTTCGCCAACTAAGTAGATCTGCCTCAAGCACACGCTTGCAATGTATCACAGCACAAGGATCTTTACTTTAGTAAACAAAGTCTGATGTGTTCCTGAAGAGGTTACCAACGTGGTTAACCTCATGGATTATACAAACTCGATTGACTGTGAAAACCTGATTACGCCTGATAAAAATTTTCTGCTTAGCACTTGAAATTTGTTCAATTCCTTTGGTGCCGTCTCAACAGCTCTAATGACACAAACGAGTACAATTTTAACTGCGATCCTTAGAGCAAACAAAAAGGGTCTATACCTCATGAATCGATGGAAACCGCCTAAACGCTTACACCAAGGTTATCAGTGAGAAGTTTCTTAGAGAGACACGAAAAATTTATTAGCAATTGAACTTTGAGCTTGGGTTGAAAACGAAATAAGAAGTATCGTGTCGCTCCACCAAAGATATTTGTGTCGGAAATTACATATTACTATATTTGATGGTTGACCGGCCATCGAGAACTGTTACATTAAATGAACAGTTGCATTGAAGTTTGGCCATCAAATTCTTGTTTTCTTGGTTATTTATGCTGAAGAAAAATGCCCGATTGTTCTCTCTCTTTTTTTTTAATTTTATGCACAATAACTGTTTCTCGGGTTTTGCTACAACGCATCCAGCTGATTCGCTATACCTGAGCAATATTTGTTTATGGGCAGCCGCCAATTTATTCTCTGTGGTTGTGATTATTATATAGTCAATTTGTAAATTATTCGAAGTCAAGTTTTACAGTTTTTCAGTTTCTTAAAAATTGCCATGACGAAAGCTCATTTCAGGCAAAGTATTGAATAAAAACGTTGAAATTAAGTGGCCAGGTGATGTTTACATTTATTTCCATAGAGCTGAAAATAATACTTTTAATGGCTTGTTGGGGGGTTAATTATACACTCGTCACGGAGACAGAAATACCAAAAAAATCCCAATTTAATTTTTATGTCATTTTACACCGGTTAAATTTTTACAGGCAGTCTCAGTTCAAATTCAAAGATTTTAAAAGTTAGCCACAAGCTTGCCAACAGTTTCTCTAGCTTCGTTATTACAACTGTGTCCTAATTTGAAATTTTTTTTTTTTGGTGTAAGTCATGAGGCAGGTGTATTTTCAACTTGAAGGAAAAGTGTTAATGTTTTCCTAAGCTCACTTAGTAAGTTTTATTTTATTGACTTTGGAGGAAATTCCCAAATTTAAAGATAAATTGATTGCCTGAGAACTAAATATCAAAATTTTTTGCCTCATTACTTGCAATTATATTAAATTTCTGCCTTAGAGTTATATTTTTTTAAACCAAATAAATTTTTTTTCAGCAATTTAGAAAAAGGAAAGCTATTTCATGCAGTTTTGTAATTAAGAAGTTAAGAGATGTTATTTTTTAATAAAGTCTATTATGTTTAATTTGGCACAAACTGATAATAATAATAAGTATTTCACAGCAATTTGGCCTACCTTTAACCTTTCGTCAGGTTTAAGAAATGCTGAAGACTGGAAAGATTTCCCAAAAAATCATTTATTGTTAAAAGTCAGTGACAATTATCAAAGTATTTTCAACATTCTTTGCAATTTTTCTTGGATTGCTACAGTTTGTAATTACTGCAAATCCTCCAATAAGCTCCCAGGGAGCTTAATAAGCTCCCAGAGAGCTTATTTATTACAGGTACTTTGAGGGTGTGACCTATGGGGGGGGGGGGGGCTCACTAATTTAGCCCAATGTTCACTACCAGGATACAATAGGACATTATGTAGCATATTTATTCAAAAATCGTTCTCATTTTACAATTTTTTCATTTACTAAATTGGAACTCAATTTTATGATCTAACTCTCTCAATGGACCTTGTTTAGCTATGTTACATTTTTAGCATCGCTCTGTCATTTCTGTATACTGTATTCTTTTGATGCCAACATGATAACATCAATCAATCAATCAATCAATCACCATAATCAATATAAACTTAAAATTACAGTATGTGAATAAATTTATTGTACTTACTGACAAGGAGTGTTATTTCAAATTTTTGTTTTTTGAGGGAGGGAGGTAGGGCTTAATAAATTTCTTTCTCAAAAGAGGGTGTCTAATTAGAGGGGGAGGGCTTAATAGACTATTTATGATAAATTTAAGTTCAAAATATGTCCTGTGGTTTGTTTATTGGGACTTGATTTCTGGAATTTTACTTTGGCAAGGATCAGTGGTTCTGACTGGAGAAGGAAGTTATAGAGTGAGGGAGGGAGGGAGGGTAAAAAAGGAAAAGAACCTAGTCACCCACATTGAAGGAGGGGTGGGTAATAGAGGAGAAAATCCTAGTCAGCCACTTTGTGGGAGGGATGGGTAATAGAGGAGAAAATCCTAGTCAGCCACTTTGTGGGAGGGGTGGGTAATAGAGGAGAAAATCCTGGTCAGCCACTTTGTGGCAGGGGTGGGTAATAGAGGAGAAAATCCTGTTCAGCCACTGGAGAAGGGGTGGGTAATAGAGGAGAAAATCGTGGTGAGCCACTTTGTGGGAGGGGTGGGTAATAGAGGAGAAATTATACACAATCAGTCACTGAAATTTCAGTTTTTTATAATAATTAAGAGCATATGTGTCTTGTAATAAATTCATACTTTTCTATTTCAATTTATAGTTCTCATTATTTTCTTTTGTGTTGTCTGTAGTGGTTGCTGTCGTGGTATTTCAAGGTTCAATGATGGCTCTTGGAGACTTCAGTGCTTATAATAATACTCAGGTTTGTATGAATGGGCACAGATTGGCATGGAATGAAACAAAGTGAATTTTGATATAATATCAAAATCTCCTCAGTCTAAGAGTTCACTGGACAACAGGTCTGGTCCCAGTTGTGTGAAGGGTAGATAACACCATCCTTCAGATAGATACCTACCTAGATACTGTCGTATCGTGCTAGTGACATTTATGTCACATGACCTTTTGGAACCATGTGCTTTGTAGAGTCTGCCATTTTGTTAATAGAGTTGTTGTGTTATTGGAGTCTTGTGTGTTTACTTCTCTTGCAAAGCTACTACAGATACCTACCTACCTTGGATACCTACCTGGTGGGTAGCAGAGTAGCTTTTGTGAACACAAGTTATAATTACAATAATCAATTAAATATACGTTAATTGAAGCTTCCCCAAGGGGCTTTTCAGCCACAATGTAGACTATCTAAGTGCTTGAAAATCCCCACTGGCAGGAGGCAGACCAGTGGGTCATTTATAGAGTGCAGCTCTTCAAGGAGTTGAACTAGGGGCAACTGAGAACAAATCCAGTGAGTGACAGGGTGGAGGACTTGAAGTTGAGACACCAGAATACAAGTCCAGCACCCTAACTGCTCGGCCACGCAGCCTTCATACATGCTGGATAGCAATTTATCTGCTGAGTTGTGTCATCCACCCTTTGAATGTAGGGGACCTGGAACATTGTGAAAGCATACCCTCTGATTTATCTTACAAGAAAATGAAGGAAATAGAATTGTTCTTTGTTTTTGTTTCACAGCATCCTGGTATGGGACCTGGGCGAAGGGTTTACATGGCGATATACATGGGTGCTGTGGTGTACACATGCTTTTTGTGTTTATTTGCAGTAAGTTAGGAAGGATTTGCTATTGTGCAGTTTTTTTACTTCTATGAATAGGTGTGTGTGTGATTTTAGGTGCCAGTAATGTTCATTAATTGATTTTATTTGACAGGTAAAAAGACAGAACTTTATGGAAATTATAGCATTTGACTTGCAGAACTTTGCTTTTGTTACTTATAGCTTCATTCAATGTGAGTAGCAGGCATTTAATTTTTCTCTTCTAATATCATAATCTTGGATTGTGTTGTGTAACTCTTTAACTCCCAGAAGTGATTAACACGCAACTTCTCCCTATGATATCTATTCATTATTCAGCAAACAAGTCATGAGAATATGCAAACTTATCAGGTAGAGGTATTATCTTGACCGTACACCAAATTCTCATGGCTTATTTACAAGGAAATGTGTTGCAGGTCGAGGAAAAAAAAGACTATCATATCTTTTAAGGTTAAAGTGAATAATTAAGTTTTTTTAGAGCTGGGATATGAAAGGTTTTTTCTAACTTGTAACAAACCTGGGTATTTTTTCTATTTTGATGTCATTTCAAAATATTTTCTGACTACAATGTCCCGTTTTTCAAACATTTTACGGGAGTTTTGATGCTCAATCAAATAACCCTTGGGATTTTTCTTTCCTTATCTGAAAACAAAATGGTCTGTCTGGAACATTTCACATAGTAGTTTATTGTGTTTTGTTTGTTTGTTTGTTTGTTTTTTTTTCTAGTATATCATGTTAGATTCAAGACATACAATGGGTTAAGAACAAGTAAAAATGATGCCCTTCCAATTATTGTTTTAGCAAATGTAAGTTTGTTGAATTTTGTCTCCAACTTTGTCTCAAATGGCCTCAATATTTTTTTTATTGATGATCCTCTACACAGAGTGCAGCTCTTTAATTCTACTTGTTGCTTTCTCTGTATGTATTGCAGACCTATGGTAACTAAAATTCCTTTCTTGTCATTGGCATAGTTTTTAAAATCAATATTCAATCGAAATGTCATTTTTTTTTTTATCAGGCCAGTACTCTTCTGTTACTCAATGTTGTGTTTACATACCTCTCATACAAGCTATACATGGAATTTGGATGGAAAATCTATAAGAGAGTTCGTTTTAATATCAGGCTTAGAGGTAAGAATTAGGTGGAGTACCTCTCAAAAATGGGAGACACACCATAATCCAATAGTAAATGAGCTAAGAGATCTGGATTTGCATGCAGGTGGGGGGGAGGAGGGGGGGTTGTTGTGTTGTGTTTTTGGGCGAGACACTTTATTCTCACAAAGCCTCTCTCCACCTGGGTGAAATAAATCAGTTCAGGAGAAATGTAGGGAAAACTTGATAAAATGTAAGGGGAGAGGTGTAGCCTACCAGGGATTAGCAACCCATCAGGGGAGGGGGCAGAAATACCCTGGCTTCCACATTATATCATGGGAACCAAGAGAAGCACAGGCTAGATAGTCAGGGAGGCTGACAAGCTGACTTTACCCTCTTCAACTAGGGGTAAATATTTCTCATCTCTCTTTTTCAAGTCCACATGGCAATGTGCCTTCCCATGTCAGTTTGCTGGTAATTCTTAATCTTTTAATTCTCTGTGTGTTATGTTCTATTAAGTAACTGCTTTTCTATCTGAGTTCAGACATTTATCAAGTCTACGAGTTGTTGTCTTGCCTATTGAAAATGGAGGTTCTGTATTCGGTGAGTCTAACCCTTTCTCTCTAAAGATCTGTTTATCGGTTCTCTACAATGTCTTTGATATCTTTCTTATAATTTTAGACCTGAGAATTTGGTAAGAAATCAAGTAGACAAGGACAAAGATGACATTTTTTTTTGCACTCTTCCTCTCTGCTTGCATGACTCACATTTTGTACTCTCCTCACACTTGCCTTGTGCTTATTACAACTCACTTGTAAACTTCATTAAAAGGGATTCTTGACCTACATTATGATGATGTAATACATTATCTCTTTTTTCTTCAAATAGGGAATGTTTGCCATTGTTCACAGTTTGGTCCTTTTGCGTGACTCACATAACATCCTCTATATTGTGAGCATGACATTTATACCATTAACATTCATGTATGCCGCTCTGGGTTATTATGCGGTGAGTGATATGTTGCATAAAAATCTAAAAACAGCCTAAAGCGCAATAGAACTCTGTGAAGCTCATTTTTTGGCAGAGTATTAGAGCACTGAATCTGAAGTCCAGTCATAGGATTCCTCATTAGGAATCAGATTTTTTCTTCATCCCACACTCAAGACAAGAAGGATTACACTTTTCTTTACATTGCTGTATTTCCCTAACCCTTTACACTCTGTCATCCGTATGCATATTCTCCATACTGTTCTCTATACATTTGTAAAGGTGCTGACAAGGAGAATTTGCTTATCAATCAAAAGCCCCTTAAGCTGGCAATATATTATTGTACTTCATAAAGATAAGTATTCTCAAGTGACAATGACAATCACATGAATTCGTTTGTTAAAGTATATGTAGGTTGACATATTCTGTGTTGTTTTTTGTTAACAGACACGCCATGAGAACAGAATGCTCATGATATTTTTTCTGACTTGGACGCTCGGTGGGATTGGTTACTTTTTGTATAAACTTTATGGGTAAGTATGGGACGGGTAGATGCAGAGGTAAGAGTGCTTACCTAACACCACCCTAACTGGAGTTTGATTCCCAAACTGCATAATGTTTTAGTTTGTGTTTGCTCCAAGGGTTTTTTTGTCTTGTTCTTTGGTTTTCCTCCCCCAACAAACTCAACACTCCAAATTCCAAATAAATCTGGAAACACTGGATATATAGCCCCACATTACTTTCTTTTCTGTCCCTTTTTAACCAAGCAGGAGTGATGATTGTGTAGTAAGAGTCATTAAGGTTGAGGGCATACGCCCTCACAGGACTCCCACTTTGCTCATGCTGTAATGTTTTGATATTATTCTACCGGAAGTTGTCCTAGCGGAAGTTCTAAGACATTGCAAAGGATCATGGATATTTGGGCCATGCTTTCCGGTTATCATGGTGGATGAATAAAGACTAGTTTCGTTTTATAGTTTAAATATATCTTATTAACCAAGCGCGAGGGCCGAATATCGGCCCCGAGGTCTTGACAGTACGGACCGAGCGTAGCGAGGTCCGTACAAAAAAGACCGAGGGCCGATATTCTTCCAGTACGGTCCCGAGCAAGCTTGGTTAATAAGAGATTTATTATACGACTGAAGTTCAAAGGACGCAAGTGCGGTATCATTCGGTACAGTGTCCGGTCCAATTCTGAGAGAATATTGACCGGCAATAGAGCATTTTGAAGAGCAATTTGATTGGTTGATTTTAGTTATTGGCCCTCTGACTGCCCGAGTCGTGTAATAATCTGGGTTATTGCGCGGCCATCCAAGTGACATCGTTACACATGCTTTGCAGCCTTCGCTAAAAAAAAAGATGGAAAAGCCAGGTGTGCAGATTACATGGGATAGAAATCCACCTTGTGTATAGACCACTGCTAAACTCCAATTTGTATACAAATTTTTATTTAATTATGAAGGGTCAAGGTTGCTCATTGATAGGGTTATCATTTGTTAATATTGTGGCCTGGGCTTGATTTCTGAACTTTGTGTTTTTTTCTTTACCCTCCTTTTTTTACTCTCTGTACTAAAAGTAACCCTCCAAATTCCATTTTGATCGGAAAAACGGTGGACAATTAAGAGCCACCTGATGGAAGTGCCACTGCTTAGTCCGATTAATTTATGATTTATTTGTTTCTTGATTTGCTTAGCTGCTCCTCAAAACGAATTTACTTGAATTAACTTGAATTACATGCCAGACCTAAGGTCCAATTGTAAACTAGTGAGGCAGTGACTGTGAGTCAGTTGGGGTAAACAAAATTCATGAATTGCGTGCAATTCTTGATTCCTGTAGGTTTGTTACTCGTACATGCAGTGGCTGTCCAGAGTTTGAAATCGATGGAAAAGACATCCCTGATGAGGCCTTCATGCATTTCGTATACTTAGGTAGGTTTTAGACATGAATGCAAGTTGAAAAGCTATCATTATGGTATACTGGAATAATACTTTTGTAGCACAGTTTGCAATTTCGTATAGTAAAATTTAGTTGCGCAAGCGTGCCTCATGTTCTCACTTTGCCCTCTCATGCAGTATATGTATGTACATACATACATACATACATACATACATACATACATACATACATACATACATACATACATACATATGTTTTATTGCAACTCCCAAGCTGGGTTTTTCAGTTACAAAGCCTACATTAAATTATTGTAATATTATAGTAACATTAGTAACATTCTATAGATATATATAAGTAAATCTAAAGTTAATACAATATAAATACAAAAGGCCAGTACATGTTAAAAACACTAGTGAACTAATACAAAAAATTACGCAAGAATAGAAGATAGAAATGATTCATCTTTGCGCAATATTTCGACTAAGGAGCGCATTCAGTAGGCGGAGCTTAAAGGCGTTTACATTCTCAGCTGCTTTTAAGTCCTTTGGGAGGTTATTCCACAATTTGCATCCACAATACGTGAATGCACATTGCCCGGAGGGCAGGCAGCATCGTGGGATGTGGAGCAGATTACATGATATTGTTACCCTACTGTGAATACGAGGTCGTGGGACAAACATGTTAGCCAGATATTCAGGAACTAAATTATTTACACATTTAAATACCATTACAGCATTGTTGAAATAAAGTCTCTCCTTAACAGTGAGCCAATTAAGAGATTTTATGCCTTGGGAGATGTGGTGAAATTTCTTAAGACCTAATACAGTACGGGCAGCAAAGTTTTGCACTAGCTGAGGCTACTTTATATTTCTTTGACATGTGTTGGCCCATACAGTTGAACAATAATACATTGTACTAAAAACAAAAGCATTCATCAAAAGCAAGAGAGTTTTCCTGTCCAAAAGGTGTTTGATCCTGCTGATCTGTACTA